TGAATTTAAATATCATTAAGTTCTATGCATAGTCAGTTTTGAAAGGTAACCCTGCTGACTAAACTGTCAAGCTCCATGTACTGCTGAGCTTTAGTAACACAGGCTTACAAGCATTATTCTCTCTACTCCCTCTCCATATTTGTCACAATGCTGTCTTCTTCAATCAAGTCAGTTTTCAGATTGGTTTCTTCTCACATGTCTATACAGAATAGAACAAAGTCCCAACATCAAAAATTTCAAGGCCAAAATCCCTAGACGAAAGGTATTTCAATCTGGACTTGACTGCTTGAATTTGACGGAAGCCTAGACACCTGGTTCAAAACTCCACTACCTCAGGCAATCCTGATGCATGACAAAGAATTCCATTGCATCTTTGACCCACAAAGCAGGCTGATATCCCCCGAAGGAACAAAAAAAAAAAAAGGCAACATTTGATATCATTTTGAAAAGAAAAAGATTTAGGCATCAGTGGACCACTTCCATTAGCACTGTAGCCCTATGCAGACCAAAAGATTTTCAATCTTGAAAGGTCCAAAGCTACTACCAGTTCAGAGAGAGACTTGCAAGCATTTTAACAAAGGGAGTCTAGAAATAAAGTGGTACTTAGTCACTCCTTAAAGAGAGGCAAATTTGCTCACTTACATTAAACTGACTGTGTGAAACAACCAGCCCCAGGAAATACCAAGTTTTTCAGGCCCCTTCTCCTGTGAAGAGGACTGCAATGTGGAAACTGCTGAGTGCAGTTTTCCTCATCCGATATACAAAGCCAATTCCACTTGACAGCTACACTATCAGCTCTTCTGATACAGACATCTCTCTTAGCCAAGTAACAACCATCCCCAAGTAACACCCAGAAAGCTGAAGGGGAGCCCAGTGGGGTGGTTCTGCTTTGGATGAACGCAGCGCAGGTAAGCGTAACCAGCAGGACCCACCAGGGATCACTCAACTGGTCGGAGGATCCACCCCGAGTGCCAAGGCCCCGAGACTTGAAGGGCACTGCGATTCCCACAGGGGAATTACTAAAACTGCTCTGTGATGCCACCAGAGGAGCTCCCAGGCACTAACCAGCAGTTCCTTGGGGACTCAACACCTCAGATGCCTTG